CCCCCCCCCCCAATGCAAAGCCAAAGAAAGTTTTGGCTGAATAGAGGCTTTAACCCTCAACATCATCTCATGGTCCCCTCTCACCTCCAGTCCCCCGATAATGACACGCCCGCATGTATTGTGACCAGTTAGCAGCTCCGTTCCTGGACTACTGACCACGCGCCATTGCCTGTGAATTAATGAGGGAAGCCATCTTGGTAGTCTTCTTACCGTACGGCTGATGGCCAATCACTGTACCCCTCCCATCAGACAGGGGAAGCAACCTTCCAATCCCTCCCCAACTGACTGATGGCCAATCGCTCATCCTACATCCCAAATACCATGGGGAAACCACCTGGTAGTCCCCTCCCTCCCTTCCTGACTGATGGCCAATCCCTTAACCTCATCCTCCATCCTAGATACTATGGGGGAACCACCACCTGGTAGCACCCTCCTCTCCTGACTGATGGCCAATCCCTTAACCTCATCCTCCATCCCAAATACCATGGGGAACCACCACTTCACCACCTGGTAGCACCCCCCCTCCCCTCCTGACTGATGGCCAATCGCTTAACCTCATCCTCCATCCTAGATACTATGGGGAAACCACCACCTGGTAGCACCCTTCCCTCCTCCACTACCCCTTCCATCAGACACCGTAGGGAAGCCATCTGCTAGTCTTCTCTCCACTTGACTGAGGGGCAAATTGCTCCGCCCTTCCAATCAGACAGCATGGGGAAGCCTCCTGCCGGTTGCACCCTGACTGATGGCCAGTTGCCCCACCTGGAATCAATGGAGAAGCCACCTGTTAGCCCCTCCCCAGATCATTTATACCCATTCACACTACCCCACCTTGACACCATGGGGAAGCCATCCAGAAGTCCCCTACCCACCGCCCTGATGGCCAATTTTATTACCTTTCCCATTGGACAACATTTGGAAGGCCACCTGGTAGTCCCTTCCTGACTGACTGACTGATGGCCTCCCACAGGAGCTGCACTTTTTAGTCATAAGAAACATCCATTTTTCTGGTAATTCAGCCCAGACTCATTCCACTTCAGGGTTCCCCTAGTGGGGGATGGGAGAGGGGGGGACACGGCTGAGCACAATAGATACACAACTGCCAGTTCCATCCTAAAAACTGAATTATCGGCTTCCGGTGAACGTGTTTTTATAATCAGAGTGTATTCCCCGATGTCTATTAAAAACATTGTCTCCCGTTATTAACCACCAAGAAGTCTTCTCCATCTGTTATTACGCAGCAATAGAATGACGGCCGTGTTCTAATGTGAGGGAACGGATCCATGTCATGGAATCCAGCGCCAGCGCCATGAGGTCCTACAACTCGTATGGGCCAAAGTCTGACCATCATCCCTACGTGAGCTCGAGGGACATCCCATTCCACCACCATGGAATGGTGAGATGCAGGTACCACTCCCCCATGACCATTCATTTGGTGGTGTCCTCCTCTGTGACATCCTCCACTCTTCTGGGAAGTCTTGCTACAAGATTTTGGGGGGTGTCTGGGGGAATTTTTCCCATGTGTGAGGTCAGGTCCTGATGTTGGATGAGAAGATCCGGGCTCACAGTCAGTGTTCTAATTCATCCCGAAGGTGTTGTGTAGATCCTCCTCGCCATGGATTGGAATGCCAATTGTGAACCATGTCTTCTGGTCCTGAGGTTCCTCCGGAGGTTTGGAAGGACTCCTTGAGTAGAGCGTGAATCTCCGCCCTTCCACTCCTCTCTTCTGGAAGAACCCCAAGATGAGGAGACCTGGCTCAAATTCATCCGGGGGGTGTTCAGTAGGGTGAGGTCAGGACACTCGGGTTCCTCCACCAAGCTGGACCCCCTCCCCCACATGTCTGTATCGAGCTGGCTTTGTACACAGGGGACAGTCATTGTATGGAGCTGGCTGTGTACACAGGGGACAGTCATGGGGGGGACAGAAAAGGGTCTTCACCAAACTGTGACCACAATTGTCTACAATGTCTTTGCATGATGGAGGAAGATGAGCGGGACCCTCACTGGAGACCCCTGAACCCCGTCACTGGAGACCCCTGAACCCCGTCACTGGAGACCCCCTGAACCCCGTCACTGGAGACCCCCTGAACCCCGTCACTGGAGACCCC